TTTTGGGAAAGTTGCCTAAAAATCCACAAAAAATTCTGGCACTTCAATCTTGACGTGTTGATTCAAAAAATATATCGCGCTTATGATTCCGGAGCAGGATTTTCTAAATATGTGGTCTGGAAATCATTTTCTTTGAATCTTGAAAATTTCCATATCTCAAATGGGCGATTCTGGAAAATTGGTAGGAATTTTTTGAAAAATGAATGCAGAAATAATTTCTGGAAGCTGAAATTTACAAGAAAATCTCTTTGGGTAATTTTGGAAAATGTCCAAAAAAGGTGGAAAATTTTGTGGGGTGAAAGTATGGAAAAACTGTGTTTTTGGAAAAGTTGTCTAAATATAGCGTACTTATGGTTCCGGAACAAGATTTTCTAAATATTCGGTTTAGAAGTATTTTTTTTTAAATCGTGAAAATTCCCTGATTCCAAATGCGAGATTTTGGGCAAATGTTGGGAATTTTTTTAGGAAATGAAGTCAGAAATAACTTCTGGAGGCTGAAATATATAAGAAAATTTGTTTACGTAATTTTCGAAAATGGTCGAAAAAAGGTGGAAAATTTCATCAAGGGAGAGTATGGAAAATTGAGCTTTTGGGAAAGTTGCCTAAAAATCCACGAAAAATTCTGGGACTTCAATCTTGACGTGTTGATTCAAAAAATATATCGCGCTTATGATTCCGGAACAGGATTTTATAAATACGAGGTCTGGAAATCATTTTCTTTGAATCGTGAAAATTCCCATACCTCAAATGGGCGATTCTGGAAAATTGGTGGGAATTTTCTAAAAAATGAAGGCAGAAATAATTTCTGGAGGCTGAAATTTACAAGAAAATCTCTTTGGGTAATTTTGGAAAATGTCCAAAAAAAGGTGGAAAATTTTGTGGGGTAGAGTATGGAAAAACTCTGCTTTTGGAAAGGTTGCCTAAAAATTCACAAAAAATTCTTGGATAAAGGTACGTACTAATTCCTAAAATATAGCGTGTTTTGATTCTGGAACACGATTTTCTAAATATTCGGTTTGGTAGTATTTTTTTTATCCTGAAAATTCCCACACCTAAGCTATTCTGGAAAATTGGTAGAAATCTTCTAAGAAATGAAGGCAGAAATAACTTGTAAAGGCTGAAATCTACAAGAAAGATCTATTTAGGTAATTTTCGAAAGTGGTCGAGAAAAGATGGAAAACTTCGTAAGGAAAAATTGAGCTTTTGGAAAAGTTCCTTAAAAATCCGCAAAAAATTCTGGTATATAGATCTTGACGTGCTAATTCCAAAAATATAGCATGTTTATCATTCCGGACCAAGATTTTCTAAATATTCGATGTGGAAATATACTTTTTTTAATCCTGAAAATTCCCACATTTCAAATGCGAGATTTTGGGAAAATGCTGGGAATTTTGTAAGAAATGAAACCGGAAATAACCTCTGCAAGCTGAAATATACAAGAAAATCTCTTTGGGTAATTTTCAAAAATGGTCGAAAAAAGTTGGAAAATTTATAAAGGGGAGAGTATGGAAAAATTGAGCTTTTGGGAAAGTTGTCTAAAAATCCACAAAGAATTCAGGGACATAGATCTTGCCGTGTTGATTCAAAAAGAATATCGCGCTTATGATTCCGGAATAGGATTTTCGAAATACGCGGTCTGAAAACATATATTTTTTAAATCCTGAAAATTTCCATATCTCAAATGGGTGATTCTGGAAAATTGGAAGGAATTTTTTAGAAAATGAAGGCAGAAATAACTTCTGGAGGCTGAAATCTACAAGAAAATCTCTTTGGGTAATTTTCGCAAATCTTCGAAAAAAGGTAGAACATTTTCTAAGGGGAGAGTATGGAAAAATTAAGGTTTGGAAAAGTTGCCTAAAAATTCACAAAAACTTCTGGTCTATAGATCTTGACGTGCTAATTCCAAAAATATAGCATGATTATCATTCCGGACCAAGATTTTCTAAATATTCGATGTGGAAATTTTTTTTTTATTAAATCCTGAAATTTCCCACATTTCAAATGCGAGATTTTGGGAAAATGCTGGGAATTTTGTAAGAAATGAAACCGGAAATAACCTCTGCAAGCTGAAATCTACAAGAAAATCTCTTTGGGTAATTTTTAAAAATGGTCTAAAAAAGTTGGAAAATTTATTAAGGGGAGAGTATCCAAAAATTGAGCTTTTGGAAAAGATGCCAAAAAATCCACAAAAAATTGTGGAACATAGATCTTGACGTGTTGAATAAAAAAATATATCCCGCTTATGATTCCAGAATAGGATTTTCGAAATACGCGGTCTGGATATAATACATATTTTTTAAATCCTGAAAATTTCCATATCTCAAATGGAAAATCGGTAGGAATTTTCTAGAAATTGAAGGCAAAAATAACTTCTGGAGACTGAAATTTACAAGAAAATATCTTTGGGTAATTTTTGCAAATGATCGAAAAAAGGTAGAAAATTTTCTAAGGGGAGAGTATGGAAAAATTAAGCTTTGGAAAAGTTGCCTAAAAGTCCACAAAAAATTCTGGTACATAGATCTTGACGTGCTAATTCCCAAGATATAGCTTATTTATGATTCTGGAACACGATTTTCTAAATATTCGGTTGGGAAGTTAGTTTTTTTAAAATGCTGAAAATTCCCACATTTCAAATGCGAAATTTTGGGAAAACGCTGCTAATTTTGTAAGAAATGAAGACAATTAGCTTCTGGAGACTGAAAGTTAGAAAAAGATCTCTTTAGGAAATTTTCGAAAATGGTGTAAAAAAGGTGGAAACTTTCTCATGGAAAAATTGAGCTTTTTGGAAAGTTGCCTAAAAATCCGCAAAAAAATCTAGGATATAGATCTTGATGTTTTGATTCCAAAAATATATCGTGTTTATGATTCCGGAGCAAGGTTTTCTAAATATTCCGTTTTTTAATCCCGGTAATTTTGGAAAATTGGTAGAAAATTTCCAAGAACCGAAGGCAGAAATAATTTCTGAAGGCTGAAATCTACAAGAAAAATCTCTAGGTAATTTTCGAAAATGGTTGAAAAAAGGTGGAAAATTTCGTATGGAAAAATTGAGCTTTTGGAAGAGCAAGATTTTCTAAATATTCACTTTGGAAGTATTTTTTTGCTCGAATTTTCCAATAAACAAAGGCAGAAATAACTTCTGGGGGGTAAAATTGGAAAATGGCAGAAAAACGTTGGAAAATTTTAAAACGGAACAATGGAGCTTTTGGAAAAGTTGCCTAAAAATCCATTTTTTAAAAGCGATGTCCACTATATAGTTCTACTGTATTTTTGCCTTGATTTAACGCAATAAAATTATTGTATTTAATTTTAAATATTCTTGTTTTTTTTTTCTATTCTTATTAACTTTTTATATTTATTTTATTATGAAACTTATTGTAATTTTGCTATTACCGCATTAACAAAACATTTCTTAAAAAAGCGATATCCGCTGTATAAAAGTTCTACTGTACTTTTTTTTATTTAAAAGTTTTAGTAGTACTTCTACGTAACAATACATTTTCAAAATATTGAAGACTTGCCAAAAAAATAAATTTAGATCATGTCGTAACGAAATGGTAAACAATGCGAAATTTGTTTGTATTTAATTTTAAATATTGTTGTCGTTTTTTCCATTCTTATTTACTTTCTATAATTTTTTTATTATGAAACCTACTGTAATTTTCCTATTCGCGCATTGCCAGAAGATTTATGTCAAAAACAAAACTATAGTAAAATTCTACCAACAAAAAACTAATATTTTTGTTTTAACGCAAATTCTTAAAAGTGATGTCCGCTGTATATAAGTTCTATTGTATTTTTTTTCTTGATTAAACATCTGGAAAAAATATCAAAATAACATCAAACAGGGAAAGCTCTTGTCCGTGGATTACAGAGTCTAGATTTCGTTTTGAAATTTAACTAACCAAAAAGTGGTGGTGATGCTCTGATATCCATGAAAACGGCAACCACTGTTACATATGATGCACTAAACAAATCTTGGTTCATTTAAACTTTGTGTTTACTGTTTACTGATCTGTGGTAGTACTTTCCATTATTTCTACATATAATACACATAGACTTAATAAAATGGTATTTCTCGGTAAAGAAAACCTTGCTATGACATTAAAAAAAATGATGGCAGCGATTCCAAAACGGTGTTCCGCAAGACGTCTCCGAGTGAAAATTATTCAAATTAATATGATTTCTATTCTAATTTTTTATGATAACCGTGCGAAAGTGTTGCCCAACAAAAAAGTTTGGCAAACGCTGACCCATAAATTTCATCCTATTCTAGTCCTTTCAGAAAGCGACAATTGTAAAGAAACTTAAATTTAGAACTTGTTTTTCACTTTTAATTTTCGCATGTCAATGACATCGCAAAAATCGCGAAAAAAAAGTAGTTTTGATTTTTGAAATCCGGCTGCAAACGTTTACCTAACACAGTTTCAAGCTCGATGAATAAGAATTCCGCAAAAGTAATTTAGCACACGTGCGGCCATTTATTAGCACAACATGAATCCGTGTTATGGAAACAATGAAGATGAATAAATAAGCGGCCGCCCATTAATGGAGAGGATTAATAATGAGTGGTTATTTATAAATCAATTACAGAAACCTGTTGTAAATTTTCGATATCAAAGGTAAGGAAACGGCACCTCAAAGTTAAAAATAGTCCATTACGTCAGCACGCGATTAAAATTCAATTGTTAAACAATATTTTTAGCGACATAAACAAGTCGGATTATCGGGCGTCCAAGTCGAGGAAATCTCGAAAATCGGGCGTTGCATAACGGCGGAAAACGCGTTTTGGCGGCAAAGCTATGGGTGTGCGAATTGGCGTCCGAGCAAGTTGAGCGCATTTCATGCAAACGAGGCGCACACACGTGTCAAGGGATCACGTAAGGAATGACAAGAGAAGAGGTCAACAGTACGCAATCGGCGCGATTGGGCCCATTCGGCGACCTTGGCGCCCAAAATAGCCCAACCATGGGAGAGCAGCAAACGGCAAAAAACCCACTTACCATGTGTTTAAAAATCCCAGTGGGTCAATCGAGGCTGCGGAGATATTTGTCCACCAGCAATTGTTGCACTATCACGTGATCGAGCGTCAAAACAGCAGAGAGCGTCCAGGAACCGCCGCGGTCGGAATGTTATTTTTGACGCGATTATTTGCACAGCGATAAAAGAAAAAAACGGGAAAGTTTACGGAGCGCAGAGGTTCATCTTCGGCGGCCAAAAATGCCGCTCGCACTTTCTACACACCAACTCGGGGTCCTCTTCTTCTTCCGAGAGGAAGAGCACTCTTTTGGCAACTTCGCGCTTATCACTGGACGCGGTCGACGCAACGGGGACTTTTCACACTCGGTTTATCTCGCGCTTATTAGTAAACACATTATTTAAATAACACGACACAGAAGAATAAAGAGTTGACGAAGTTCGGCTTGTTTATTTTTTCGCTTTGTCTGAGGAATTCGCCTGGAATTTGATCTGTTTTTGAGCGATTGATGCGATAAGTTGTGCTTTTTTTTCGTCGCTTGTTTGACGTAACGCGAAGCGAGCGTGTCTTTGAACTTAATATCGCGAACTCTTCGAATGCATCTGATTTGACCGTGTGACTGTGACTACGATATCCGAACCAGCCTGTTGAATGTGGTTTTTTAAGATTTTAATGGGGGACGGTGGCTACATCTTGTTTACGGTAAGTTGAACACCGCACACCGAACAGCAACCGCAGCGCCATCTTCTAGCCCACTCCTCTAACGCGATACAGAAACCTGTAACGACGAAAGCAGTAAACTACTCGAGACGCCGTTATCTCAGATACAAACCCGGTGCAGGTTTCTGTCATCTCATTCCAGTGTTCTTTTTTTAAAACCAGCACTGTAAATACCGTCCCCAGATCACTTTTGGTTGTGTTTTTGTACCACATTTTTGTTTTGTTTCCATTTTCTTGTTTATCTTTATAATAATTCAAAAATACAGAAAGAACAACATTAAATATATCACCTTGGTTCGCTTCTGCATCAATACGATACCATTTTTGTTTACATGCGTCCATATACAATTCAGTTTTATTACCGCAGTTGTATATTTTTAGAACCCGTTTTTCGCTTAATACGTATTTAATTGAACAAATCTTACTATTCTTTCTTTAGAACTGAAACTCTTTATTTTCTTTTAAGTATTGATCATCGCCTGGAATAGAATAAGGACTTCGACCGCGGAAAATTTGTTAACGCTGCGTTTTCGTCGGCAATGGATACGTTTTTTTTGTTCCCATCATTTTATTTTTCAGTTATCTTCTATGCAGAGTTCGTTCTTTCTTTATTCTGCCTTTCCACCACTCTTACGTTGTAAAATCAGTCTTATGATCCCTAGAGTATGGAAAAATAGGTCTGCCGTTTCCGTCTCTACTACTTACTGCTTGTTGCAAAATTGTATACGTTTTAGAATTATCGTGTAGATGTCAAAACGCTGATCAAAATTTGTCTGATTATCCCCACCCAGAACTTGATGACGTCACCTGAAAAGTTTGCATGGTGAATGTTATATAAATTTTGTAAAATAACATTACTCCTGTACTTGTGGTTTTTGAATCTTCCTTGATTTTTACCCTAGGTGTTAGAGAAACGCTGGTTTTTGCACCATAAACAATTGGAGAATTTTTTTTTTCTTATAATTTCGTTCTTTACTAGGTTTTATGGATTTTGAAAATATTTTTTTGAACGCATTGTCTGTGTTAATTAGATAATCCATATATGTATAATGACTAGGAGTTTGTGAACATCGACTTTCCATTTCCGTAAAAGTTTATTGGAAGTCCTCAATAAACCCCTGCCCGTGATATCTCGTATTTGAAGTAATTTGAAAGAATTTCGGAGATCTTATTTTTGAAGCAATTTGCCAGAATTTCCGCTTTTTTTTTAAGTAGTTTGGAAGAATCTCGGAATCCCTTTGTGTTTTATTTTTGAAGTAGTTCGGAAAAATCTCGGGGATCGGTTGTCTTGATTTTGAAGTAATTTGAAAGAATCTTGGGGCTCCTTGTGTCTGGTTTTTGAAGTAGTTTGAAAGAGTGTCGGGGATCCTTGTCTTGTTTTTGAAATAGAAAGAATCTCGGGGACCTCTTCTGTTTTGTTTTGAAGTATTTTGAAAGAATCTCGGGGACCACATGTGTCTGGTTTTTGAAGAAGGAATCAGAAAGAAAAGCTGAAGAGAAAGCTGAAAAGAAAGCTAAGGAAGAAGCTGAGAAGAAAGCTAAAGAAGAAGCTGAAGTAATCTTAAAGAAAAATACGAAAAGAAATCTAAGAAAGAAGCTGAGAAAAAAACTGAAGAGGAAGCTGGGAAGAAAATTAAGGAAGAAGCGGAAAAGAAAGCTAAAGAGGAATCAAAAAGAAAGGCTAAAAAGGAAGCTGAAAAGGAAGCTAAGGAGGAAGTTGAGAAGAAGGCTAAGGAGGAAGCAGAAATAACGGCCAAAAAGAAAGTTGAAAAGAAGGCTAAGGAAGAAGCAGAGAAGAAAGCAAAAGAGGAAGTTGAAAAGGTAGTTAACGAGGAGGCTGAAAAAAAGGCGAAAGAAGAAGCTGAAAAGAAAGCTAAAGAGGAGGTCGAAAAGACTAAAGAAGAAGCTGAAAAGAAAGCTAAAGACGGAGACGAAAAGAAAGCTAAAAAGGAAGCGGAAATAACGTACAAAAAGGAAGCTGAGAAGAAGGCTAGGGAAGAAGCTGAAAAAAAAGCTGAAGATGAAGTTGAGAAGAAAATTAAGGAAGAAGAGGAGAAGAAAGCTAAATAGGAGTCAAAAAGAAAGACTAAAAAGGAATCTGAAAAGGAAGCTAAGGAGGAAGTTGAGAAGAAGGTTAAGGAGGAAGCAGAAATAACGGCCAAAAAGAAATCTGCAAAGAAGCCTAAGGAAGAAGCAGAGAAGAAAGCAAACGAGAAAGCTGAAAAGATAGCTAAAGAGGAGGCTGCGAAAAAGGCGAAGGAAGAAGTTGAAAAGAAAGCTAAAGAGGAGGCCAAAAAGACTAAAGAAGAAGCTGAAAACAAAGCTAAACAGGATGCCAAGAAGGCTAATCTAATGAAGAAGCAAAAAATGCCAAAGAAGAAGTTTAAAAGAAAGCTAAAGAGGAAGTCGAGAAGAAAGCTTAGAAGAAAGCAGAAATAAAGGCTAAAAAGGAAGCTGAAAGGAAGGCTAAGGAATAAGCATAGAAGAAAGAAAAAAGGAAATGAAAGCTTAGGATGAGACTGAAAAGAAGGCGAAAGAAGAAGTTGTAAAAGAGAACTAAACAGGAGGCTGAAAAAGCTAAAGAAGAATCTGAAAAGAAAGCTAAAGAATAAACAGAAAAGAAAATTAAAGAAGAAGCCGAAAAAATGGCTAAAGAAGAAGCAGAAATAAAGTACAAAAAGACAGCTGAAAAGAAAGCTAAGGAAGAAACAGAGAAGAAAGTAAAAGAGGAAGCTGAAATGAAAGCTAAGGAGGACGCTAAGAAGAAGACGGAGAAAGAAACTGAAAAGAAAACTAAGGAGGACGCCAACAAGGCTAAAGAAGAAGCAAAAAAAGCTAAAGAGGAAGCTGAAAAGAAATTTTAAGGAGGAGGCTCAGAAAAAGGCGAAGGAAGAATCTGAAAAGAAAGCTAAAGACGAAGCCGAAAAGAAAACTAAAGAGGAAGCAGAAATAAAGTACAAGCAGCAAGCTGAAAAGAAGGCTAAGGAAGAAACACAGAAGAAAGTAAAAGAGTAAGCTGTAAAGAAAGCTAAGGCGGACGCTGACAAGAAGGCGAAGGAAGAAGCTGAAAATAAAGCTAAAGAATAAGATGAAAAGAAAACTAAAGAAGAAGCCGAAAAGAAAGCTTAGTAGGATGCAGAAATAAAAACTAAAAAGAAAGCTGAAACGGAGGTTAAGGACTAAGCAGAGAAGAAAGCAAAGAAGAAGAAAAAGAAAGACAAGGACGAGGTTGAGAAGAGGGCGAAAGAAGAAGTTGAAAAGAAAGTTAAACAGGAGGCCGAAAAGACTAAAGAAGAAGTTGATAAGAAAGCTAAAGACGAAGCTGAAAAAAAAGCTAAAGAGGAAGCAGAAACGAAGTACAAAAAGAAAGCTGAAAAGAAGGCAAAAGAGGAAACTGAAAAGAAAGCTAAGGAGGACGCTGAAAAGAAGGCGAAGGAAGAAGTTGAAAAGAATGCCAAAAAGGAGACCAAGAAGCCTAAAGAAGAAGCTAAAAAAAAAGCTAAAAAAAAAGCTAAAGAATAAGATGAAAAAAAGCTAAAGAGGAAGCAGAAATAAAGGCTAAAAAGAAAGCTGAAACGGAGGTTAAGGAATAAGCAGAGAAGAAAGCAAAGAAGAAAAAGAAAGACAAGGACGAGGTTGAGAAGAGGGCGAAAGAAGAAGTTGAAAAGAAAGCCAAACAGGAGGCCGAAAAGACTAAAGAAGACGTTGAGAAGAAAGCTAAAGACGAAGCCGAAAAGAAAGCTAAAGAGGAAGCAGAAAGAAAGTACAAAAAGAAAGCTGAAAAGAAGGCAATAGAGGAAACTGAAAAGAAAGCTAAGGAGGACGCTGCGAAAAAGGCGAAGGAAGAAGCTGAAAAGAACGCCAAAGAGGAGACCAGGAAGGCTAAAGAAGAAGCTAAAAAAAAGCTAAAGAACAAGATGAAAAGAAAGCTAAAGAGGAAGCAGAAATAAAGGCTAAAAAGAAAGCTGAAACGAAGGTTAAGGAAGCAAAAGCCGAAGCTGAAAAGAAAGCTAAGGAAGAGGCTGAGAAGAAGAAGAAGAAGGAACAAGCTGAAAAAAAGCTATAGAGAAGGCCAAGAAGGCTAAAGAAGCAGGTGAAAAGAAAGCTAACAGAGAAACTAAAAGGAAAACTAAAGAGGAAGCCGAAAAGAAAGCTACAGGGGCAGCGGACCCTTTTTGCCTGGTTTTTGAAGTAGTTTGAAAAAATTTCTGGGACTCCTTTTGTTTTGTTTTTGAAATAGTTTGAAAGAATGTCGGAGGCCCCTTGTGTCTGGTTTTTGAAGTAGTTTGAAAGCATCCCTGGGACTACTTTTGTTTTGTTTTTGAAGTAGTTTGAAAGAATCTCGGGGGCTACGTATGTCTCGTTTTTGAAGTAGTTTGAAAGAATTTCGGGGACTCCTTTTGTTTTGTTTTTGAAGTAGTTTGAAAGAATCTCGGGAACCCCCTGTGTTTGGTTTTTGAAGTAGATTGAATAAATCGCTGGAACTCCTTTTGTTTCGTTTTTTGAAGTAATTTGAAAGAATCTCGGGGACACTTTTCTTTTGTTTTTGAGGTAGTTTGAAAGAATGTCGGCTATCTGTTGTAGTGTTTTTGAAGTAGTTTGAAAGAATCTCGGAGGCTCATTTTGTTTTGTTTTTGAAGTAGTTTGAAAAAATCTCGGGGACTCCTTTTGTTTTGTTTTTGAAGTAGTTTGAAGAATCTCGCGGACTCATTTTGTTTTGATTTTTGAGGTGCTTTGAAGGAATGTCGGCGATCTGTTGTCGTGTTTTTGAAGTAGTTTGAAAGAATCTCGGGGACTCATTTTGTTTTGTTTTTAAAGTAGTTTGAAAGAATGTCGGGGACTCCTTTTGTTTTGTTTTTGAAGTAGTTTGAAAGAATATTGAAGGCGCCTTGTCCTGTTTTTGAAGTACAGTAAAACCTGTCCATGCCGGAATCGCGCGGGTCCAAAATTTTTATCCGTCTTAAACAGGGTTCCGGCTTTTACAGGAAACCCGGCTATGACGGAAAGTACACCTCTATAAAACGGAAATGAATTTTTATTAAATTGAATACATAGGTACATATAAAAGAATTATTTGAAATAGTTGTTTATTGTTATTTGCTTTTTCGGCCATTTAGATATATTTTCCATGCTTGTTCTCAACTGCAAAAGGTTGGCTACACACTCACCGCTTTGCCATTACTCTCTAATTTATTTCAGGATATGTCTTATAATTTGATACACTTGCGTTTTTTACAACGGAACTTTTGCAAATTTCTTTAACAGTCAAATTTTGCTGCTCGTGTACATTAATTAAATCCATTTTGTTGTTACTGTTGGTCGTTTTATGGGCCATTGCGAACACACATATAACCACGAGAGACACCAATTAAATGAGAATTGAGAACAGTGATTTTCTGTTGACAAAAAATGCACCTGCAAGTCCACGAATTGAATTATATATTTTTCGTAGAAATCATCAACTTTGTTCTCGCTTCCGTTTTACACAGAGTTGGGTGCATGTGTTTTGACACGTTGGGACTTACAAATATTTTCCGTTTCCGCGTTATACAGTTTCCGGCTTATACGGACCAAAATACATTAAATTAGGTATTTGAAAAAACGGGACTGCGGAAAATTTCCGCGATGAGCAGTTTTCCGCCTTCTACAGAGTCCGGCATAGACAGGTTTCACTGTAGTTTGAAAGAATCTCGGGAACCCCCTGTGTTTGGTTTTTGAAGTAGATTGAATAAATCGCGGAACTCCTTTTGTTTCGTTTTTTGAAGTAATTTGAAAGAATCTCGGGGACACTTTTGTTTTGTTTTTGAGGTAGTTTGAAAGAATGTCGGCGATCTGTTGTCGTGTTTTTGAAGTAGTTTGAACGAATCTCGGGGACTCATTTTGTTTTGTTTTTGAAGTAGTCTGAAAGAATGTCGGAGGCCTCTTGTCCCCCTGTGTCTGGTTTTTGAAGTAGATTGAATAAATCGCGGCAACTCCTTTTGTTTCGTTTTTTGAAGTAATTTGAAAGAATGTCGCCGATTTGTTGTCATGTTTTTGAAGTAATTTGAAAGAATTTTGGATATCTCTTGTCTTGTTTTTGAAGTAGTTTGAAAGAACCTCGGGGATCCCTTGTCCTGCATGTCTTGATTCCCGATGATTTCTGGATGGTCCCCCTGAACAAGAGTTATAGGCATCAGATTAATTAAATTTTTGGGAGTGTCCTATAAACAATAAAAAATTTCGAAATACTTCTATAAGGAATTTCCTATTCTTTTTGTCGTATTCTCTGGCCATTTGACTTCCATTTTAACTCTTTTACTTTAAATATATCTTTGTTGTTTCTATCATCAATTGTCTACTCATTTTTCTTTTTGAGTTTATAATGTCGCTTCTCTCTTTTTTCACTGTTATATTTTCAAGTTCTCTTCTTTGTACAAATATTTTTTGATTTATTCTGCTTTATTTATTTTGTAATTGTTATGTTAAAATAGTAATAACAATAGTGTCCTTTTTGCTATGTATTTTTAATTTTTGGAACGTAATGACGCCATTTGGTTGGTGTTGTTGAATTAAAAATATCGTAGAGTTTTGGGACTAGGAATTTTCAAATTTGACCATATTTTAGATGATTAATTTTAATTTTATTATCTAAATAAAGCGTTTTGTATGTATTTTTTAGTGGTTGTGAAATGAGAACACGTTGGAAATATGTATGTTTTATTATACGAGAAATATATTGTATACATTCACACTAAGTACAGCTATTTGGCAAGACCACTCAAACTTAGGTTTTCGGTCGAACCTAACTTTAAGTTACACTGGATTATCATTTACATGATCGGAATTTTTAAAACGTTAGTTGGTGCGGTAGGGAAGTACACAAAATCGATAGATGTGTGTGATTATATACATATTTTTCACAACATTATGTTAATATCACAGGTCTTAACTAAATGATTATATGCTATGTACACGTAACACTTAAGAACAGCCATTTAATCAATTGATAATTTATTATTATATATCGGTGAAAGCCATACAACGTGCTTAACCCCTACGGCTTCGTAAACTACCGATTTTCAAAATTCGCGCCAAAAAATTCGTTCGTGATAGCTTTCACCTCCCTATATAAATGTATATAAAAGTACAAAATGTAATAGCAAACAAGATTTTATGGGCTCAATTACTAAAATCTTGTGAATTACATTATCTCGTTTATAGAAGAATAAACTTTATATACAAAATGTAACAATACTAATAGACATTTGAACTAAACGAATCTCAATACACGAAACATAAAACACCAGGATTTTTACAAGAATCTTTTTACACATAGGTCACATTAAGATCTTTAACATCATATCGTAAGTGTATACAATGTTAAATTGACACTGAGTAACTTAAACTTAACTTAAGTACGTCTACTCTCTTATACCCTGCTAAGTCGCTAACTTACCCTACAGAAAGACCCTTCCGATCTTCATCAACAACGAATCGCAAAATATGGTACAAGTTGTGTGTCTCAAAATGTCAGAATCGATATGATATTTTTGAGAAATGATAATAAAGCCAAGCAAACCTCGCCCGTAAAAATCAGCAATCGTGATTGTTCCCTTACGACCAGGCTTCCGTGTAATAACCCTCACCAACTACCCCGCCATAAATAAAACATCCCCGAACGCCGATTTATAGGGGCGCTGCGGTGTAAAACCCCGAGTTTTGCTTACACCTCCAATCTCCAAATAAAAAATTTACAAACACGTCGGATGGATGGTGACGACGTTGCCGTTCTTGACGGCGTTGCCCTTCGATATGGTCTCTCTGCTGTCCCCCAGCGAGGTTATGTTCGTCCGTGACGTCATCGTGATGGCCGAGGTGGACTGGTCGCCCCGGCTCACCAGCGGCCCCATGTCGCACTCGTCGTCGTTGTTCGGGCAGATGGAAGTGCCCCGCGCCGCCCTCATCCTCTCCGACCCCTTGTTTTTCCGGGGGAAAACGCTGTTCTCCATGTGCAAAGTCGCGTTGACGTCTTTTCCGGCGGCGCAAGTGCAAGCTTTCAGAAAGCTCTTCTTGAAGTTGTCGCTCAGGAAAGCGTAAAGGATCGGGTTCATCGCCGAATTCGAGTAGCAGAGGCAGGAAGCCATGAGGTGGAGCGTTACCACGAAGGGAGACCTTCAACAGAAAGTAATCTATTTTCAAATGCCTGTTGTCTGGATAATTAAAAAAATGCGATCGATAACCGCACTAATATCGGACTGTCTGAACGCGAGTTCGCCGGATGGGAGGGAGTGGGTGCTAATATGCCGAGGTTTATTTCGGAGATGAATAAACGAGCTCAAAGGCATTGTGGCTATTCAAAAATTGGGAAAGATGGTGTGGTTACACGGGTTTAATGAAAAATTAACGCGAAGGGGCGGCGAGACGATGAGTAGGCGGGGTTGAACAATGCGCCCACTTCAAATTTTGAGCGCGTTTTGGGTTATTACGACGAGAATTTGTTCGTCGGTCCATGAAAGAGTGATAAATTTGGTAGAAAATTAATCAATCGTCTCGTTTTCGCAAAATAAGTCGATTTTGCATATCGCAAGTATGTCATGTCTATCAGAATCGTTAAAACAAATCGAAGTACACTTCAGAACTCATAAAATTCGACAAAAATAAGATTTATAGCTAAAATTTGATGGTTTCCTTGACATTTTCGTGGGAATCCGTGTTAAATTTTTATTTTCGATTTTCCGTTGTTTTAGTTTTACGTTTTTTCAATTTTTCTCCTCTTCAATTTGACGATTTGTAAATATTTCGATTTTTCAATTTTTGACATTCATAAACTCTCAATTTTTCGATTTTTCAATTAATCGATGTTTTGGTTTTCTCTTTTCTTGACTTTTGGCTATTTCGATTTTTCAGTTCTTCAATTCTTCAATTTTCGATTTTTCAGGTTTTTGATTTTTCAATTATTCGATTTCTCAATTTTTCAGTTTTTTAATTTCACCGTTTTTAGATATTTCAGTTTTTGGATTTTTTAGTTTTTTGATATTTCAGATTTGGGATTTTTCAGTTTATTTATTATTCAATTTATCGATTTTACAATTTTTCAATTTCACGATTTTCAATTTTTTGATTTCCCAATTTTTCGCCTTTTCAATTTTACGATTTTTAAATATTTCGATTTTTCAATTCTTCAAATTTGACTTCCAGTTTTTCAATTTTTCAATTCTTAGGGTTTTGATTTTTCTACTTCACTTTTTTGCTTTTAGATTTCTCAATTTTTCAATGTTTTAAGTTCTCAGTTTTAGGATATTTCAGTTTTGAGATTTTTCAATTTTTCGAAATTTCACTTTTGTAACTTTCCAGATTATTTATTATTCAATTTTTCGATTTTACAATTTCAAAATTTTTCAATTTCTCGATTTTCAATTTTCCGATGTTTCATTCAGTATTACGTTTTTTCAAATTTTTCGACTCTTCAATTTTACGATTTTTAAATACATGTTTCGATTTTTCGATTTTTCAATTTTTGACTTTCCTAAATTCTCAATTTTTCGATTTTTCAATTAATTGATGTTTTGATTTTCTATTTCTTGACTTTCGAATGTTTCGATTTTCTGGTTCATCATTTCTTCAATTTTTCAATTTCACGATTTTCAATTTTTCGATTTCCCAATTTTTCGATGTTTCAATTTGACATTTTTCCAATTTTTCTCTTTACGATTTTTAAATACCTATTTCGATTTTTCAATTTTTCAAATTTGACTTTTATAAACTCAGTTTTTCGATTTTTGATTTCTTCAAATCTACAATTTTTCAATTTTTTAGGTTTTTAAGGTTTCGATTTTTCTACTTCACTTTTTTGACTTTTTAATTTCTCAATTTCTTAATTTTTTAATTTCTTGGTTTTAGGATATTTCAGTTTTTCCATCCTTTAGTTTTCTTTCACTTTTAAATTTTTCGAAATTTCAGTTTCGGGATTTGTCAAATTATTTATTATTCATTTTTTCGACTTTACATTTTCTCGATTTTCAATTTTCCAATGTTGCAGTTTTACGTTTTTTCAATTTTTTTCTTCTTCAATTTTACGATGTTTAAAAAATACATATTTTGATTTTTCGATTTTTCAATTTTTGACTTTTATAATAAATTCTCAATTTTTTGAATTTTCAATTAATTGACGTTTTGATTTTCCTATTTCTTTACTTTCGACTGTTTCGATTTTCCAGTTCAATTTTTCGATTTTCTAGGTTTTTGATTTCTTAATTTTACGATTTTTTTAAGGTTTCGATTTTTCACCTTCACTTTTTTGATTTTTCGATTTCTCAATTTTTCAATTTTTTAGATTTTCATCTTTTGGATATTTCAGTTTTTCTTTAATTTTTCAGTTTTTCGATATTTCAGTTTTGAGATTTTCCAATATTTCGATTCTTCGGCTTTTCGATTTTTGACTTCTAGATTTTTCGATGTGTCGATTTTTTTACTTTTTCGATTTTTCAGCATTTCGGTTTTTAAATTTTACATTTTTCTATTTCGTAATTTTTCGATTTTTCGACTTCTCGGTTTTAGATTCTGTTTTTTAATTTTTCATTTTTTAAATACTTAGATTTTTCAATTTTTGACTTTTATAAACTCTCAATTTTTTTATTTTTCAATTAATCCATGTTTTGGTTTTCCCGTTTCTTGATTTTCGACTATTTATATTTTCCAGTTCTTCAATTCTTCAATTTTTCGATAGTTCAGGTTTTTGATTTTTCGATTTCTCAATTTTTCAGTTTTTTAATTTCTCAGTTTTTGGATATTTCAATTTTGGGATTTTTCAGTTTTTCTTTCATTTTTAAATTTATTGAAATTTCAGTTTTGGGATTTTTCAGTTTATTTATTATTCCATTTTTCGATTTTCCAATTTTTCGATTTCACGATTTTCAATTTTTCGATTTCCCAATTTTCCAATGTTTCAATTTTACGATTTTCCAAATTTTCTGCTCTTCAATTTTACGATTTTCAAATACATATTTCGATTTTTCATTTTTTCAAATTTGACTTATAAACTCTCGCTCTTTCGGTTTTTCATTTTTTGAATTTTTGAATTTTTTAGGTTTTTTATATTTTACATTTATCAATTTTTTAAAGTTTTGATTTTTCTACTTCATATTTTGACTTTTTGATTTGTCAATTTTTCGATTTTTTTATTTCTCAGTTTTAGGATATTTCAGTTTTGAGATTTCTCATAAAACTTTACATTTTTCCAATTTTTCTCCTTTTCAATTTTACGATTTTTAAATATTTCGATTTTTCATTAAATTTGACTTTTATAAACTCTCAGTTTTTCGATATTTCATTTCTTCAATTTTTCAATTTTTACATTTGTTGGACTTTTGATTTTTCAATTTCTTAAGATTTTGATTTTTCTACTTTACTTTTTTGACTTTTTGATTTCTCAGTTTTTCAATTTTTTTTCTTTCATTTTTCAACTTAGAAATTTCAGTTTTGGGATTTTTTCAGATTATTTATTATTGAATTTTTTGATTTTACAATTTCTCAATTTTTCAATTTCTCGATGTTTAATTTTCCGATGTTTCAGTTTATCGTTTTTTCAATTTTTCTCCTCTTCAACTTTACGACTTTTAAAAATTTTTGACCTTTATAAATTCTTGATTTTACGATTTTTCAATTAATCGATGTTTTGATTTTCCTATTTCTTGACTTTCGACTGTTTCGATTTTCCAGTTCAATTCTTCAATTTTTTGATTTTTCAGGTTTTTGATTTTTCAATTTTTCGATTTTTTAAGATTTCGATTTTTCGACTTCACTCTTCTGATTTTTCAATTTCCCAATTTTTCAGGTTTTTAGTTTCTCAGTTTTTGGATATTTCAGTTTTGAGATTTTTCAGTTTTTCTTTCATTTTCCAGTTTTTCGATTTTACAATTTTTCAGTTTCACAATTTTCAACTTATCGATTTCCCAATTTTCCTATGTTTCAATTTTACGATTTTCCAAATTTTCTGTTCTTCAATTTTACGATTTTTGAAAACATCTCGATTTTTCGATTTTTCAATTTTTGGCTTTTATAAATTCTCAATTTTTCGATTTTTCAATTAATCGATGTTTTGATTTTCCTATTTCTTGACTGTCGACTATTTCGATTTTCCAGTTCAATTCTTCGATTTTCCAGTTCAATTCTTCGATTTTTTAATTTTTCAAATTTGACTTTATAAACGCTCAGTTTTTTGATTTTTCAATTTTTCAATTTTTCAATTTTTGAAGGTTTTGATTTTTCTACTTCACTTTTTTGACTTTTTGATTTCTCAAATTTTAAATTTTTTAATTGCTCAGTTTTAGGGTATTTCAGTTTTTCAGATTATTATTCAATTTTTCGATTTTACAATGTCTCAATTTTTAATTTCCCGATTTTCAATTTTCCGATGTCAGTTTTACGTTTTTTCAATTTTTCTCTTCAATTTTAGATTTTTAAAACATCTCGATTTTTCGATTTTTCAATTTTTGATTTTTCTAAATCCTCAATTTTTCGATTTTTCAATTCATCAAATCTTCAATTTTTCGATTTTTGTTGTTTTTGATTTTTCAATTTTCCGATTTTTTTTAAAGTTTCAATTTTTTCGACTTCAATTTTTTGATTTTTCGATTTCTCATTTTTTAAATTTTTTGGATTCTCGGCTTTTGGACAGTTTTTCCATTCTTTAGTTTTTCTTTCATTTTTCAGTTTCTCGATCTTTCAGTTTTGCGATTTTTCAGTATTTCGATTTTTAAATTTTACATATTTCAAACCTTCCGTTTTCTTAATCTTTCAATTTTTCGATTTCCCGTTTTAGATTTTGCGATATTGTGATTTCTCGATTTACTGAGACTTGGATGTTTGGATGTTTTAATTGTTCAGTTTCTCGATTTATCAGTCCTTCAATTTGTAACTTTTCGATTTTTTATTTTGGCCTATTTCGGTTTCTCAGTTTTTTCATTTTTCCATTTTTTCGTTTTCTTATTTTTTCGCTTTTAGATTTTTCGATTTTCCAATTTTTTAACTTTTCGTTTTTTCGATTTCGGCCTCTTTAGGTTTCTCAGTTTTAAAGTTTGTAGTTTCAATTTTTTGATTTTTCGTTTTTCGATTTTTAAATTTTAGATTTTCAAATTTTTAATTCTTCGGTTTGACGATTTTCTTATGTTTTGATTTCTCGACATTTTGGTTTTTCGATTTTTAAAATTTTAAATCATGGCATTTTTGTTGATGACTATTTTAGCGCGATTCTGGACAAACTGAATGACCAAAAATTCTGAAAAAAATTGGGTTTACGAAAAAATGATGCGACATCAAGGAAAATAGTCCAAACTTGATGGGATGACTCGTTTCCTGAACATAGAGGATCAAAATCAAATTTTTAAAATATTTTAAACTTTGTCAGAAATCATTTTTCAGATTTTGGAATAATAGTAGGAGTTTTTGAAGAGACAAAACAGATCGAGATCACCAAGAGAAATTCTTTTGACAATTTTCGACGACGCTTTCGAAAAAGTAAAATTTTGAAAACATTCGTCAAGATAGATTTCGATGAGCTGAATTTTCTAGTCGTCAAAACAAATCGAAATATACCTCAGAACTCATAAAATTCGCCAAAAATAAGATTTCTAGCTCAAATATGATGGTTCCCTTGGTATTTTCGGGCCCCTAGGGAGCCGGAAACGATCGAAAACACAAAAAACGCGCGTATAAAGTAACGAAAAAAATTCTCCTAATATAGTAATGAGTTCGACAACCGGCCCCCGAAAACCTCTCCAATACTTACTGGTTCAACGGATTAACGGTGTGTACCATCGCGATCTGTGTAATCCAGTACGGCAGCCAGCAGAACACATACACCGCCACCACGGTCAAGACCAGATTGGTGACCTTCCTGTGCGACCTCTTCTTCTCCTTCGACTTGTTCTTCGGTCCGACCGTCTTCAATTTCTGTATGACCAAGCAGTAGAAAACAAGTATCAAAAACAACGGTATCGCAAAGCTGAAGACGAACGTGTACGTGGTGAAAATGGTCGCTCCGGACAGAGCCGAAGTCGAGTTCTCGCTCATGGTTTCGTTCGAGGTCCACTCTATAATGCAGCTCTTGGTTCCGGGTCTCTGTTCCGTCTCGGTCGCATGCTCGATGATGGGCGTCATCAACAGGATGCTGCAGGTCCACGCCAGGACTGACACTATCCGCGAAATCAGCGGCGTCCGCCACTTGGGGGACGAAATCGGGTGACACACCGCGATGTACCTGTCCGCGCTCATGATGCAGAGGAAAATGGAGCTGGTGAACTGGTTGATGCTGGTGGAGATCATGTAGGCTTTGCAGGCGGCGTTGCCGAATATCCACTGTTCGTTTAACATTGTCACTATGAGGAAGGGGATTCCGATTAGGAAACACTCGTCGGCGATGGCGAGGTTCACGATGTACATGTTTGTAACTGTCTGCATTTTGGAAAAACGGATCACGACGTAGATTACGAGAGTGTTGCCTACGAGACCCACTAAACACACTACTGCGAAGAGGATGGTTTGGAAGATGATGGGGATTTTCAAGCCGGGCTCCATGACGGCGTCGTCGGCCGTCATGTTGGTGTGGTTCATCATTGGGGAAAGTCGACTACGAGACGAGCCTGCAACAAAACCACGATTTTAATTCTAGACGGCTTAGAAACCCTAGAAAAATCACAATCATGTAATATTCGGGTCGAATGTGAACAAACTCAGTCCCGAAATTCCCATTTTCTTTATATTAAAAAACTTTTTAATATTCAGAGCTTCAAACTTCGTTATTGTGCACGTAATACACTAGGTAGTCGTTCGCGTTCCGTTATGATTAAAGTTTACACCGTTGCTATTATTATTTGCTTTGTAAAACTATTCCAATATCCTCAACGATATTAATAAAAATGCGGATTGTAATAAGTGAGTTTGCTATGCAAACAACGATGTATGAGAGTACATTTTTATGCGTTAGTCGTGACAGCTGAATATACTGTTCTGTTATAATGCAGGAAAAATAAAAATTGCCTGCAGGATCTTTGTTTATTTTTCAAGCTAACAATGTAAATAATATAGTACGCGTTATATATGTGGTAATTTTTGCATGTCAGGTCTTATCTCCCTTCAAACTAACAAAAAACTCGCAGAGGGAAATTATTTTGCGTAGAGAGATGTAATCTTGGCAGGAATTTATTTGTACGTGGCCACCTGACAAGTCTAATTTTAAACGAATCTTGATACTTCTAACGAAGCTGATCTAACTTATTTATGGTTGGTTTATTTCATCAAGTTAAATTGAGCGTTAAATCTAAATACAATAAGAAGGAGTGTTAAGATAAGAGATGGGGAAAGCGAAACGGGATACACTTTTTAATTGGTTCATAAAGTTGCCGAACGGGGCTTCATTCCGGAAGTGCTCCTTTACCAAGGCAAAAGTGGCGAAGCTGCTTTTTAATACTATTCATTTTTATAGTTATGCGTTTTTTGGTTGTTACGTTATACGATGATCATAACTTTTATATTTTTTGAGTGATTTAGTGCACTGTTATTGCGATTATTATTATTAATCAAACAATTTTTGCTGTTAGAGGTTTTGTTAAAACAGCTAGCTGTAAAAAATAGATTTTTAAAATTATCCAGGAAAGTCAACTATCTAAACCAAGATTTTCTTAGGACCATGAATATTTACTTATTTTTGCGATGGTTCGGTAGTTAGGGAATTTTTATTTTAACACCAAAAAAATCAAAATTGTTCGAATCCTCCCAAAGAGCAACCATCTAAAACGCATCAGGATCATGAATCTGCACTTATTTGTACCATAGGTCTTTAGATAGGGCAAATGCGAATTTTTGTCCCGGCGCCTCCACCAATTTTCACTTAATTTGACAGCTTCGAAAATCCTTCCAAAAAAGCATCTATCGTTATCGAAATTTTCTCAAGATCACAAATTTGTGCTTATTTTTACTGTAGATCTTTGAATAAGAGAGATACGATGTTTTGTTCTGGCGCCTCCACCAATTTTTCACTGTATTTGAAATTTTCTATAATTGTCCTGAAAAAGTTCCGTCTAAAAAATTCGGTTAAAGAGGGATTGTCTAAACTAAAATCATGAATCTGTACTTATTTTTACTATAGGTCTTCAGATAGGGTAAATACGAATTTTTGTCCCGGCGCCTCCAACAATTTTCACTAAAGTTGAAAGTTTTGAAAATCTTACCAAAAAGGTTTCCATCATGACCGAAATTTTCTCAGGATCACGAATTTGTGCTTATTTTTACTGTGGGTTGCCAAATAAGAAGATATGAATTTTGATTCTGGCGCCTCCAGCATTTTTTCCCAAAAATCAAAGTTGATCGAAGCATTCCAAAAAGACGTCTATCTAACCCGAAATTTTCTCAAGGATCAAGAATCTGTGCTTATTTTTACATAGGTCGTCAATAAGGTAGATTTGAATTTCGTCTCGGCGCCTCCACCAATTTTCAACTGAATTTGAAACTTTAAAAAATCCTTCCAAAAAGCACCTATCGTTATCGAAATTTTCTCAAGATCACAAATTTGTGCTTATTTTACTGTAGATCTTTGAATAAGAGAGATACGATATTTTGTTCTGGCGCCTCCACCAATTTTTCACTATATTTGAAATTTTCTATAATTGTTCTGAAAAGAGTTCGGTCTAAAAAATTCGGTTAAAAAGGGATTGTCTAAACGAAAATCATGAATCTATACTTATTTTTACTATAGGTCTTCAGATACGGTAAATACGAATTTTTGCCCCGGCGCCTCCACCAATTTTTACTAAATTTGAAAGTTTCGAAAATCCTTCCAAAAAAGCATCTATCACGATCGAAATTTTCTCAGAATCACGAATTTGTGCTTATTTTTACTGTGGGTTGCGAAATAAGAGAGATATAGATTTTGATTCTGGCGCCTCCACCATTTTTTCCCAAAAATCAAAGTTGATTGAAGCATTCCAAAAAGACGTCTATCTAACCCAAAATTTTCTCAGGATCAAGAATCTGCGCTTATTTTTATTTATCGTAGGTCGTCAAATAAGGTATGTTTGAATTTCGTCTCGGCGCCTCCACCAATTTTTCACTGAATTTGAAACTTTCAAAAATCCTTCCAAAAAGGCGTCTATCGTTATCGAAATTTTCTCAAGATCACAAATTTGTGCTTATTTTACTGTAGATCTTTGAATAAGAGAGATACGATGTTTTGTTCTGGCGCCTCCACCAATTTTTCACTATATTTGAAATTTTCTATAATTGTCCTGAAAAGAGTTCCGTCCAAAAAATTCGGTTAAAAAAGGATTGTCCAAACCAAAACCATGAATCTGTGCTTATTTTTACTATAGGTCTTCAGATAGGAGAAATACGAATTTTTGTCCCGGCGCCTCCACCAATTTTCACTAAATTTGAAAGCTTCGAAAATCTTTCCAAAAAAGCATCTATGACGACCGAAATTTTCTCAGAATCACGAATTTGTGCTTATTTTTACTGTGGGTTGCCAAATAAGAGATATATGAATTTTGATTCTGGCGCCTCCACCATTTCTTCCCAAAAATCAGAGTTGATCGAAGCATTCCAACAAGACGTCTATCTAACCCGAAATTTTCTCAGGATCAAGAATCTGTGCTTATTTTTAACATAGGTCGTCAAATAAGGTAGATTTGAATTTCGTCTCGGCGCCTCCACCAATATTTCACTGAATTTGAAACTTTCAAAAATCCTTCCAAAAAAGCACCTATCGTTATCGAAATTTTCTCAAGATCACAAATTTGTGCTTATTTTTACTGTAGATCTTTGAATAAGAGAGATACGATGTTTTGTTCTGGCGCCTCCACCAATTTTTCACAAAATTTGAAACTTTCTATAATTGTCCTGAAAAGAGTTCTGTCTACAAAAGTCTGTTAAAAGGGATTTAAACCGAAATTTTCTTAGGATCATGAATTTTTGCTTATCTCTACTGTGGGTTGCCAAATAAGAGAGATATTAATTTTTTCTCCGGCGCCTCCACCAATTTTTCGCTGAATTTGAAATTTTCGAAAATCCTTCCAAAAAGGTATCTATCATGACCGAAATGTTCTCAGGATCACGAATTTGTGCTAATTTTTACTGTAGATCTTCGAATATGAGAGCTACGAAGTTTTGTCCCGGCGCCTCCACCAATTTTCACTAAATTTGAAACTTTCGAAAATCCTTCCAAAAAGGCATCTATCATAACCGAAATTTTCTCAGGATCACGAATTTGTGCGTGTTTTTAATGTAGGTCGTGAAATATGGTAGACTTGAATTTTTGTTCTGGCGCCTCCACCAATGTTCACTACATTTGAAACTTCAAAAAATCCTTCCAAAAAGGCATCCAACATGACCGAAATTTTCTCAGGATCACGAATTTGTGTTTATTTTTATTGTATATATTCGCATAAGAGAGATACGAATTTTTATTATACATATGTCGTTAAATAAGACAGACTGGAATTTTTGTTCCGGCGCCTCCACAAATATTTAACTAAATACGATATTTTCTAAAACCCTGCCGAGAAGATATTAATCGAAACCGCAATTTTTTGAGGATCACGAATTTGTCTTCATTTCAGCTGTAAATCCTCTGATAAGAAAGATATTTTCGGTTTAATTTTCTAAAACTCGTTCATTTAAAATTGTTGATTAAAAAAAAATAATTCAAACCGAATATGGGTAAAATCATGCTCTGAAATCATAACTGTTAATTAATTACTTATTTATTTATTTTTAAACAAGCCTACGATTTTTAAATCAAAACGTCGGGAAAATTTTGCGTTTTTTTTGATAACTTTTTGAAAAGCTCAATTTTTCAAAATTCTCTCTTATGAAAATTTCGACTTCTTTTGGATCATCTTCGAAAATTACTTCAAGAGATTTTTTTCTACATTGCCACCTCCAGAAATTATTTTCGGCTCCATATCTTCGAAACTTCTAACATTTTTTCCAGAATCGTCCAATGAAATATGGCAATTTAAAAAAAAATTACATCCAAACCTAATATTTCTAAAATTTTGCTCACACTATTCCTCGACTCATTACGTCGAGATCTAAGTATATCCCTGAATTTTTTGCGACTTTTTAGACAATTTTTTCGAAAGCTCAATTTTTCGATTTTCTCCCCTAATGAAAATTTTCCTTAACTAAAAAATTTTTTTTCGTAGTCTTCATTTTCGAAAACTCTAAAATCGCCCATTTAATTGCCATATTTAAAATTTTTAGGACAAAAAAATCAAAGCGAATATGGCTAAAATGCTTCTGGAACCATAAATAATTTTATGATTTTTAAATCAGAATGTCGAGATCTCTATCCAGGATTTATTTTTTTTGCGAATTTTCTCATGACTTTTTGAAAATTTCAATGTTTCAATTTTCTCCCATATGAAAATTTCGACCTTTTTTCGATCATTTTCGAAAATTTTCTCAATACGTTTATTTACATTTCGACCTCCAGAAGTTATTTTCGGCTTCATTTCTGCGAAAATTCTTACGATTTTTCCAGAATCGTCCAACGAAATATGACAACTTAGAAAAAAATGACTTCCAAACCCAGTATTTCTAAAATTTTGCTCTCACACGATATATTCCTGGAATCATTACTTCAAGA